TGTGTGTGTGTGTGTGTGTGTGTGTGTGTGTGTGTGTGTGTGTGTGTAATGAACACACTTTCCCACAACTCTTGGGCAGAGGCCTAAGGAAGGCCTCGTCCTAAAAATGCATTTTAAAAGTTCCTTCAGGCTGAGGCTGTCAAGGTTTCAGTGCTGATCCTTAGAGCTGGAGGAGCCAGAGGAGAGGGAGTCTGCTTTCAAAAACAGATGAAAACTGTCTTTGGAATAGATTTTGTCTAGAAGCCTGAAAGCAAGTAATGCCGCTGAATTTTGTGCTTAAAAACTATTGAAATAGCAAAGTAAGTACATATTTTCATACCAACCCCCCCCCCAAAAAAATGACAATGGAAATTCTGTGATCAAATATCAGGTATCATGTCTAAGAAACTTAATACCCTAAAATACCCTAAAAACAAACTGATTGATTTGATTAATGTACAAATGACTCATTAAGAGTGAGCATGGAGTTCAGTAGCCTGCTGGTCAGGAAAGCCAGTGGACTGTGGCTTCTCTCTTAGTAGCACTGTTTGCTATTATAATGCACACAAATGCTATATCATTCAGAACCTTTCAAGGCACAGCCAGATGCTTTCAAATTCATGGGGTGTTTCACACCAATATGGAAAAAGCATGCCAGCCACACTTGGGCTGGGCATGCCAGGAAGCAAAGAGAGAGAGTGTGGACTTGGAAGAACCGAACGCTCTCAGACATAGCACCAGGCAGCTGGTTCTCCCCCATCTAGGAGAAATGGGCAGTGAACGCTGACAGTAAACATCTATTCTAAGAAGAAAAGCCAGTAACTGTCTTGGCTCACTTCGAGCAATAAATACTCAGACTTCGGTGTGGTTGAAATCCAGAGTCCCATGCACTAACTTCAGACTGAAATGGTGACAAGCTGTTTTCTACTGAGTTTTCCCTCTTTTTTTATATCTACCGTAAAGGGTCGATGCAAGCCTGAGGAGGGTCGGCACTAGTGTATGGCCCACAGGGCACTCACATGTCCTCACGGTGTCCCAGAATGTCCCCTCCTGCCCTGCCCTGCTCTGACCTGACCCACATAAAACATCCTAATGCTTGTCAACAGGAAAAAGAGTGGCTGTTCTCTGCCCCCTCCACCCCAACACTTAGATCTTGGTCCAGCTCTCTGCAGTGACGTTCACACTGGAGATATTTTGAATCATTCTATAAAATTAAATCTGCCATAGGCTAGTACCAGGTTACTAATACATGAAAGCCCTGCTAGGCGGCCTGTATTGATCTCCCTGGTGAATTAGGGTGATAGGGTAGATTAAGTGCAAAGAACCTGTGCAGAGAGCTTAGAAATGTGTGTGCATCCCTGCAGGAACCCAAGAGCACCACCTCCCGTCTCCTTATGATCCCTGTGGGAACAATTGTCCTTCCGCCCCAACCTTTGATGCTCTGGGGTAACCTCCTTCATTAATATTCCTGTCCCCAGGACAGCCTTACTCTGTGACATCTGAGAAGTTAATTGTTGTTCTTCATTAGAAAGTATTCCTATTCCACTAGGCACACACAGGAACCCCTTTTGCTACAAACCACCCCCAAATCCAAGTCCTTCATGGATATAGAAGGAGGAAGGATTCTGCAAAGGTGCCAGCTCCTTGTGATTCCCAAGCTCCTAACAAATGTCCTATGGCTCCTTCACCTTCTTTCAAAGGCTACTTGCCAAGTTGGAAAAAGAAAAGAAAGAAAGAAAAAGAAAGAAAGAAAGAAAGAAAGAAAGAAAGAAAGAAAGAAAGAAAGAAAGAAAGAAAGAAGAGAGAGAGAGAGAAAGAAAGAAAGAAAGAAAGAAAGAAAGAAAGAAAGAAAGAAAGAAAGAAAGAAAGAAGAGAGAGAAAGAAAGAAAGAACAGGGACCCTGGGACATCTCTGGCACCCACTCATCGTCCCTGAAGTTCCTTGCAAAGTTTCTTTGCAGCTATAGAGAGCACCATGTCAGCGCAGTCAGACAGGGTCCCCCTCTCACTGTCCATCTACCTGGACAAACGTCTGAAATGTAAACTATTTTGAAAAACACCTGGAGACAGAACGTTGAAAACAGACTGAGACATCCATTTCTTGGCAACAAAATCATGATCATATCATATGTAAGATGTATTTTGTTTCCCCAGTGTGCACATCTTAGGTAGACTAGTCACAACCTGGGCTCAAGAGACCCTGGAAGAGACAGGAAGAACAAGCAGAGAGCCACAGCCCTGTGCACTGCACAAACCTGAGCTGCCGTCCTTGGGCAGCCACAAACAGCCTGACATCCCAGCCAGGGGCTGAGGACACAGCACCCAGCACTAAGTGTGGATGGCTATATCATTACAGGAAGCTACCCTCACAGAGGCTACTGTACCTCACCACCCAACCTTCCTGTACCCCAAATCCTGTTGGAGGAATGCTTACACAGTTGTGATGGGAACCTCGGTGAAGAAAAACTAAGACAGGTACAGAGGTGATTAGAATCGCTCATGTGACTTCCTGAAATATACTGTTCTTCCACTCCACTCTGATATGCATTCATCTGTGTTGACATAATGTTCTTGTGGACTGTATGTAGTTTACTCTTGTTCATTCAAATGCTGATTTCTCTACCGCACTATCTGGTTTCCATCTGGACATTTCGTTGTGGTGTTTATTCTAAGCATCTCCTGTCTCAAGATTGTGTAAATATGTTACATTTGTTCTCTGTATTGTCCATAAAACCAACCAGCCAAGGCTGAGCAATGAAGAGAATAGGGTGAACAATGCTGGTCCAGTGAGGAGAAGAGAAAGGCAGAGTGCAGGGGAGATCCATGAGGAGAGGACCAGGAGACATCAGGAGAAATGAACTGGACCTAGGATCTGACTGAAAAGCAAGTATAGTGTGGGAAATCTGAATGGGAGGAAGCTATGCTGGCTTGGAGGTTTAAAATGGAGTAATTCTTGCGCAGCACTGTGCTCTAGGCTAATTAAATAAATCCTAGTCTCACTGTGTGGTGATTTGGGTATATAGCTGGCAAAGGAATAACCACTGCTTTACTAAAATATAAATCAATATTAAATATTAATAATCATTCAACAGACCTGGGACCAGCCTGTGATCTTTGATCATTTACCATCAACCATACACTCTGCCCAGACTATCACAAGAAGTTGGTTTGGACCCCTCCCATCAAAAGTAAAAAAAATTCACTCACCAGGATGCCAGAGTTGCTTTCACCTATCCCATCAATTTCTTTCACCATTTCAGCTGGTACCTGAGGAGAAAATACATGGTGGGGCTGAGCCACAGTCAGTGCCAAACTCCTCTGAAAAAAACAGAGAGCATGTGAACTACTGTGCCATCCCAGGCCAGTTCCACAGACAGAACTGGAAGGAGGAAAATGCAGCTTTTCCAAATACAGGATTGCCTGCTCTGTTTTTACCAGTAGTTCCACCAAGGAAATGGAGAAATCTTTAGAGAAAGTCTCTATAAATTCTTTTCATGTAAACAGGAATGCTAGGCGCTGGGCACAGTGGTAACACGCCTGTAATTCCAGAACTTAAGAGGGTGAGACAGGAAAATTATGAGTTTGAGGATAGTCTGGACTACACAGCAAATTCAAGGCCAGCCTAGACTATAGAGCAAGTCCCTGTCTCAAAAATAAATGAGTAAGGATTCAGGAAGTGGCGCAGTGGTAAAAAGCACTTGCTGCCTAAGTCTGAAGACCTAAGTTTAGATCCCCAAAACCCATGTAAAAACTGCTAGACACTGATGTGTGATACAGGAAACAGAGGCAGGAGAATCCCCTGAGTGAACTCACCTGCAGTACAGAAGGGATGCTATATAAACAGTGTGAAGGACAATGACTGACACCCAAGGTTGTCGGGACCTCTGCACTTGTGCTGTGGCGAGCACACACCCTCACACATAAACAAATACATCAATAAATATTTACAACTAATTGATTCTTTAATTTAAAATGCCATGGCCATGCCAGGTGCCTCCAGTGCCTTCTTAATTCTTAGTATACCAGGTGCCTTCTTAATTCTTAGTATACCCCAGGGGACCTCAGCCAAAGGGCTGCGTCCCATTCTGTACATACCCTCTGCAACCTGGTTACTCTCAGCCCCTCAGAGCACTGTACTCTCATGTGGCTTTCTTGTCCTTTCCAAGTCTCAGGGATGTGTCAGGAAGAGACAGGGGGCCAACTGTATCAGTGTCCTGAATCCTCTCCCCACTCTCAGTTGAGCAGGTCTGTCACTGGGCCACTTGCATTTAGTCCTGCATCTGCTGAGACAGGCTGCCTGGACTGCAGCAAACCACATGTGTGTACCTCATGTCCTCAGAGGGCTAACCACAACCCTGCTCATTCATCAGCATCACGCAGGACACCTAACCGGGGAAGATCCTCTATGCTGTCCTGATCCCAAAGGAGGAATGGCAAATTGGACACTGAGTCAAGGCTTCAGCCTAGAGCCACCCCCATTGCCAGGGGAAAGCAGAACACACAGCGTACCTAAGCTAAAATGGTAAAGAACTGACAAGAAGCAAAGATGTACCCTTAGCAAAGAGCCCTGAGGACCCAGCAGCTGTTGCCAGCGGTCCTAGACCATGCTAGAGTAGAGCTGCATGGTTGTGCAGACATGCAGGCTTGCATCCAATGCCCTGATCTCACTGGCTCACCATTAGACCATGGTGGCATGAATGCTACATTCCTATAGTCTTTTTAAAAATTAATCCCAACACTATGTGCAAGGCCTGTGAAAACTACTCAAAGACAAATTTTTCAAAACACTTCAAAGGGTAGCTGATGTGACAGTTGTCACTATGTCACTCGTTTATCCAATAAACACAGAGAACACCTGCTGCTTTGAATCCCACTCTGTTAGAGATGCCAGAGATCTTGAGCACAAACGCATTCTCAAGAAGCTAGAGTCATCTGGAGAAATTAACACTCATTAAACTGTCAGCACTTGAATACAGGGCTACAACTGTGAGGGGTATGGCAAATGGCAGAGGGAACAAAACAGTGTTTAGCACAGAGAGGAGGCCAGTGAAAGCCTGCCTCCATGAAGGATGAGGGACGCTAATAAGCAAAAGAGGAGCTGGGAGTGCATGAAAAGTGCATGCCAGCAGCCAGGACAGCCCTGTAAAGCCTGCTGCAGGTGAAGCACAACACTCTCAGGATGCAGGGAGGTCAGAGCAGGGAGCAGGAGAGATATAAAGATCCTGGCCATGAGATGCTGCCAGATGAGTGAAATGATGGAGACAGTAGGTAGGCTCTGGACAGTAGGAAACACTGGCTACATCTGGATATGGAATGATTGGAAGATGAGTCTTGGGAACACATCTTAGCTCTGGCTGAATTGGGGCATCCCACATACCCAGAAACAAGCAGGACATCTGCATATCTCACCCTGCTGGGCTTTGGTGTCTTGGAACAGCTGACAGCAGACACAAGGCCAGCAATTATCTGTGAGAGAGGAGTACATGAACCCAAGGCTGTGGGATTCAGATTTTTCATATCATGCAGGGGCCAACGTAGACACAAAATGAGAAAAGAAGCCTCAACACAGGCCCTTCACGGAACCCTAGAAAGAAGTGACCAGAGGCAGAAGGAAAGTCAGGTGCTGGTTCAACAAGCTGCTTGCTGGAAGAGGGGAGTATTCTAGGAGAAAAAAGTGGTACTGGGTGAAGGTGAAGGTCACCATGTGGAGAGCTGGTAAGCATACTGAGCACACCAGTGAGTTCATGAACAGCATCAGCAACCATGGGCAGAAGCCAGATGAAGTGACGGGGGGGGGGGGAAGGAAGATAGAAGAAGCCACTCCCTGGAAAAGCCAGCTCAGCACCTGCCGGATAGGCAGATGTTGCCTCTAGAGTGAGGCCAAAGCACCGTCCGTGCTCGTCTGTAACAGGAGGGGTTTGTCATTTCAGACAGGTGGGATCCCAAGGGCAGGAGAACAAGGCACCTTATTACCATAAAGCACCTAAAGTGCCAGGTTCCCGAGAGGCTCTCAGAGGTCAGTGCCCCTGTTTACCGCCTGGAGAACAGGTGGACAGACCTCTTCCCTGCTGTTGAGAAGGGTGCATGAGTGCAGCTAAACACTCACAAACTGACAAGATAGCTGCCTATCTCAGAGCCATCTTTTACCTTGCTCTCTGCTTACAAACTAAATGGCCATTATTTTTCAAGGGTTGGTCACAAACTTCAGGGCAGCTAGACCACAGAAGTGAACCCTAGGCCATCAGGGCTCAGGTGCCTCTGCCAGGCTATGAGGAGGACTAGACACAGATACAAGAAAGGTCTTTTGAGGGTCCCTCAGGAAACATCTCTCTATGGAATGAGGCAGCCTCGGTCATCCTCAACAGCAATCTTGCCTCAGTACACGACCCAGAACTGAGGCAGCCCCCTGAGACAGCAAGCCCGAGACCAAAGTCAGTGTACTGAGGAAGGCAGGATGGGCGACAGGAGAACACAGATATTCATTGTGCCTGATCGTGCCTGAGTTGCTGAACCTGCAGCCTGCAGCCTCTAAAAGTCTCCCTGTCTCACTGAGGCTTCACCTGCTCTGCAGGCTTTCCATCCTTCACAGGCAGCATGGCCTGGATGCGGAAGCTAACTGTGTTTTTTAATCTATTAATACCCGAAGGGCCTTTCTCTGAGCCACTCTACACACACCTAGAGACCCAAGGCCCTAAGGCTCCTTTACTCCATTACAAGTCTTCTAATTAGGCAATCCGCAGAGAACCAGAGTCTGCTCTCACCTTCTCCTGACGAGACCCATCACCTCAACTTCCCTTAGGCGGTCATAAACCTAGGAGGTGCAGTCAGAATGTGCTGTGCTGGTGTCTCAGCAAGGACTTGCCTTTTGCTGTGGCTCTTGGAACTCCAGCAATGTTGGCGCTGTGGCTTGAGCACTCACCACCTCCCATAACAGTGGTGGGAGGAGTCAGGAGCCCCAGCACAAGCTGCTGTTTCCTTAAAACCATTACACCTTCTTCCTTTCTCACCCTCAACTTCCACCGTAAAAGGACTCAGCAAGAAGTCTCTAATGCCTAGATGCTGGGCTTCCCAGCCTCCAGAACAAGAAGCTAACATGCCTCTGCTCATTACAAACGGCCTTGGCTCAGGGACATAGACCAGGAAATCGGGTCCGGTCCCTCACAGTTTCCATCATTCCACACTTCCCAAACCTCACCTGGAAGACTTACCACCTAGGACACAAATTCCTGTCTTTTGAAATCAAACTATGTGCAGATTAAATTCAGAACCATTTCTGCAAAGAAGGAAGCAAAAGGCCATGTACTGGGCTAACCAGAGCCTGCACCTGTAGAAACCTGTCTACCCTTAAACATATTTACACAAACAAATATAATTGTATCCATGGAAGATGCCATTACTCATTATTTGAGGTCTGTGTTAGTTTTATATCAATTTGACACAAGCTAGACTTATCTTGAAAGGAAAGAACGTCAATTGAGAAAATGCCTCCGTAAAACTCACCTGTAGGGCATTTTCTTTTTTTAGGGGTTTCTCTGTGTAGCCTTGGCTGTCCTGGACTCTCTTTGTAGGCCAGGCTGGCCTTGAACACACAGAGATACACCTGCCTCTGCCTCCTTGAGTGCTGGGATTGAAGGCTTCCACACCCAGCTGTGAGGCATTTTCTTAATTAGTGATTGATGTGGGAGGGAACAAGTCCATGGTGGGTGGTGCCACCCCTGGGCTGGGGTCCTGGGTTCTGTAAGGAAGCGGGCTGAGCAAGGCATGAGGAGCAAGTCAGTAAGCAGCACCCTCCATGGCCTCTGCATCAGCTCCTGTATCCAGGTTCCTGCCCTGTCTGAGCTCCTGTCCTGACTTTCTTCATTGTTGGACTAAAATGTGGAAGTGGAAGCCAAATAAATCCTTTCTGCTCCAAACTCCTGTGGTCATGATCACAGCAACAGAAAACCAACCTACGACAACACCTTTAAATGAGACAAAATTTCAACATCGGTGTTGAAACCTGAGTGCCAAAGCACTCATCTCCTGGCTGCAGATAACACATGACAGCCTCCTCCCGATCCAGCACCATGCTTCCCAACCAAGACCATTTGATTAAATTGTTTTTGTTGCCTATTTTGTCACAGCACCCCCACCCCCACACCCCAAAAAAGAAAATGCCCTACAGCTGGATCTTATGGAGGCATACAGAAGGTAACTAATACAAAGAGCCAGGCTATGGCTGCAATAACCCTGACCATGCAGTTCATAGGCCTCTGCAACTGATTTGGGGGGGGGGAGGGGACGAGGAAGATGTGAAGCTACAGGTTTAGAGAAGCTGTAGAATGCCATAAGCAGAGTGGAATGGAACATTCTGGTAAGAGTTTGGAAAACCAGAACACCAGGAGAACTCAGACAATGGAAGCCTCTCTGATGAGGTTTCAAGTGGAACAAAGACCCTATGGACAATAGCAATAGGACTACAAGGCCTTTCACACTACTTCTCCATCACATAATCTGGCTGCTTTCTGGCTGAGTGTGGCTGAATTAAAAAGTAATGAACCAAGTCATTTGGTGATTTCAAACCAGAATAGCCCAGCTGTGGCATGGTTCTGCTCAATTCTCTCAGCACTATGGTAGAAGAGCAGAACATATGAAAATGCACAGCTTGGAGGGGAAGGGAAGGAGAGAAGAGAAGAGGGGAGGATAGGGAAGAGAAAGGGAAAAGGGGGAGTTGGGGAAAGGAGGAGGAAAGGGGAGGGGAGTAAGGAGAATGCAGCAGAATTAGAGAAACTGGTGCCATCATGAACCCAGATGTCTTGCAGAGGACCCAAGGTGGATACCAGAGCCCTAGTTAGTTGGCCCACAAATGTCTATAACTCCAGTTCCGGGGAGATCCAATACCTCTAGCCACTGTGAGCACCTGTCCTTATGTGTGAGTGTGTGCACAAACACACAGTTCATATAGTATTATTCTGCTCTCTAGTGGGTGAGAGAAGCCCATAGGAGCCCATGCCCTTTAACCACCCAAATCTTAAGTCTTTTTAAAGATCAGATCAGAACACAGGATGGAGGGAGATAAGTCTGCCTATGTGGTCTCACTGTTCCTCTGCCTGACTACACCTCGTGTCTGCTGAGCGTATCACACAGGGTTTCTCATGTCCATTTCAGCTGTTTTCATAAACCCTAAAGAAATGCTCATTGGGTCATGGTGTGGGGCCACTGAGTCAAGTAACTTAACCTGTGTGCTCTGCAGGAAACATGCTTGCCACACCCGCTCTCTCCCACACTCCACCTGGACAACAACCCCTGATCCCAGGGTGGTTCCTTCAGTTCCCCATGTCACTCAGGTAAGGGAAGATGATGGTCAACTGAACAGCTTTCCCTTAGGTCCCCATGCCACACCCTGTCACTGCTGCAAAGCCAGCAGTCACATTGTTACCTGACCACTAGAAAGCTGGGGTCACTGCAGCACCCCATCCCTTCCCAGAGGGGACCTCGATAGACAATGCTGTTCCTGATCATCTTTACTTACCATGGCCTGATGCTGTGCTTTGCCTGGCCACCACCTCATGGTAAGCATATGGAGGTTCTACCACACTGTTTTCATTGTGCATTCCATTATCCCACAAATAGAGCTGAACGGTTGTATGCATGGCAGGAGCCCTACTAGGCACTGGGGTGTCAATCCTGAGCAAAGCAGACTGTTCCCATACTCTGTGGCATTCACAGTTTACACAGGGGCAGAGACAGTAATCAAACTGTGACACACTGTTGCCACACAGGTGACAGTTGTCCAAATGGCCCCTTCAACAGAAGTGCTTGAGGAGGGAAGAAGAGACAGGAAAATGCCTGGCATGGGACTCTAAGGATAAGCAAGAAGCTAACTGGTCGTGCAGAGACCCTTCTAGAGGCCAGGGAGAACTTGGGGGTGAGGTTAAAGCTGGGGATAGGTTTAGTCAGGGCTGACACAGCTGAGCCAAGATGGTAGCAGCCCTTGCTACTCACCTGATCAACTGGCATTTCCACCTTCACCTCTGGGTCCTCCCTGACTTCCAGTGCTTCTTCGATCTCTTTAGCAGGAGTCTGTGCTTTATATACGTCACCTTCTGAGAGAAAGTAAGAGACAATGCTTTCAAGCCAGTAGAGAAACTGATCCCCGATTTAAATTTTATGACCCAAATCAAAGTTCTAATTCAGCAGCCTCTAAGCTTCCTTTACCATCAGGCAAAAGCCCAGATGGAGTTCCCAACTCCATATTCCCCCTGCATTATCTGCTCTTTCTCTTCTTTTTCTTCTCTCTGTCCGTCTCTCTGTCTTTGCTTCTGTAGAGACCTCAGCTCAGTAGGCCCCAGTTTTTGCAATGTCTATCTAGTCTCCACCTCCACAAAGATCCTAGACCCCTGAAACCTTAAGCATCTCCATGTCCAAAGGCTTCCCAAATCGCCAGATCTCTCACCTGATTCCAGTCTGCAGAGCAGTGCAGAAAGGGTGTCTCCCACCTGCTTCCTGTCTATAAAGCAAAGTGGGAGGGACATCTCCCACCTGCTTCCTGTCTATAAAGCAAAGTGGGAGGGACATCTCCCACCTGCTTCCTGTCTGCACTAGAACTGGCTGCTAAGAAGTCCTTCCATGAGTCTGTCAGACTGGGAATGGAGTAACACCTCAAGAAGGGCCTCATTAGACCTAAGCACCCAAAAGAGCGTGGTGGAGGGGACAGTACAGCAGTAAGAATGAGAGCAGGCATGGCGAGAGCTATTTTCATTATTTCGTTCTATGATCAGGTCAGGATCCCTCTTCTAATGCCACACAGGAGCAAGCTAGATGGCATCTGTGGTGAAGGTTCCCTCGAAAGAATATCCACAGTCCTCGTGTGCATGTAAATAAGGAACTTATTTTAAATAGGACATTGTTAAGGCTTCCTCCTTGAACTCCATTGCCCTCAGCTTTGGAACGTTACTGCTCTTGTCAGCAGCCTACTGTCGTTCCATGGGCTAAACATGGTGATCAGGTAGTTCTAAGAAAAACATTGCAGAATAAGTTTTGTCTGAAGCACACACCATAAAGACACACTGCACACACACGGACCACCTACACCACATACACTATAATACACATACACCTTACACACCATACATATATACACACATACTACATACATATATATATGCATTATACATATACATACACCACACACCTCATACATATACACACAATATACCATACACCACAGATATACCTATATATACCTATATGTACACATGTATACACATGTACATATAAACACATACATCACACACGTCAAACATGTGCACACACATAGACCATAAACACCATACATATACACACAATACACATATGGACACTATAGATACATATACATACCACACACATATACATACTATTCATACATACACGTTACATGACATACATGTTACACATATACATACACCACACACACCAAACATATGTATGCACATACACATGTACACAATATACACACTACACACACCATACATACCACATATGCACACATACAGACAGAGCACTTTCATAGCCTGCAAGCGATGACCCCATTACCTGCACCACTTTGAATTAAAGGTGTCACGGATGTCTTCTTTTTCTCTTTGGCATAATAAACAGAATCCTGGCTTTTGGGTTGCTCACTGTCAGTTTTAAGAGATTCTTTTCCTTTGGATTCGACCTAATATGCAGATTAAGAACAGAAGGTGTCAGGAGTAGAGGCCATATTGAGTCCTTGGTCCTTTAGGTGGACAAGGGCAAGAAATCCAGGAGCCCAAGGAACCTCGCTGGGCCTCACCACTCTCCTCCACTCCCCTCTTGAAGAAGGCAAAGGTGTGTTCCTGCCTCCTTCCCACAGCCACTGCTGGAGCTCATTTGGCTTCCCACCGTACCAGGGACAGCACAAAGGGGACTCCTCAGGCCCTGTGAGGACATGAGTTGAAGCCTACCAAAAGCTGCTGCACAGGAGCACCCCAATTCTGCCCAGCAGACACTCTGTGCACAAAACAAGGTTCAAAAATCAACCATGTCACAGAATAAGGAATTAAGGGGAACCTGGAGTTTTTTTTACAATTTTTATACTATCTGTAGACAATAACAACAAAGTGTGTGGTTATCACAGAACTGAAGATTCTTAATGTCCCCCTCAACCTTACCCATTAACTATCTTCATACTACAAATAATCCCTTCTCATTTTTTTCTTTTTTTTTTTTT